TCAAAGTAAATGGATATTCGTTTTTAATAATCGTGATATCAATTATTGACCCAAATAATCAAGATTATGATTTTTGCCATGATCGAGCAGCCCTACATCATTCTACACATGTCAGTGCTCAGCATTAACATGTTACAGTTAGATACTTTTTATTCTGTGCTTCAAGCTTACCTCATTATAGTGAGTGTGGTCATGTCCAAAGCCACTCTGGTTCCTGGTTTCAGCTGAGACTTGTCCAACTGGATAGAAATATTTAAAGATTAGTGTTTTCTGTTTCTGAAAAAAAGGTTTTTAAAAATGAATGAGACTTCAATGTCAATCCTTTATTCAACCAGATGGTCCCATTGAGATCATAGATCTCTTTTTCAAGGGAGACCTGCAAAATGTGCATTGTGCTGGTATATTTGGAATTGTTTGCTCTATCCAAAAATAAAAACAAGGTTGTATTGTAAAAAATAAATATGTGGTCAAAACATTATGTATTTAGTTATGGACTGGTGTGCCAAATATTTGATTTGTTGGATTGGCCAATAACAGATATTATTATACTAATAATAATAATTAGTGGTACATTAGGCGCTTTCACACCGCAGTACTTTTCCCACAAAGGTTCATCAGAACTTAGTGCATGATAACTTTTTAGTTCTCATGCACTAAGTACAGATCGCGTTCACACCGGAATAAGTCCCTGGGGGAGAATTGGGGAGGATTAGTCAAATGAAGCCGCTGACGTCACTTCTTCTTCTTCTTCTGCTTTGGGTTTACTGGCAGGCCGCAAACAACTTCACGGCGTATACTGCCACACGAAGCCCCCGGCCGGAAGTCCCCGGAGTTGGGGAATGGCTTCAGTAGAAGCTGCTGGGATAACTCCCAGCAGCTTCTACTGAAGCCTTCCGAGTAAATCGCCAGAACGCCAACACCTCCTCATCTCCACCGCGCCCATGTTTTCTTTTGTGTTGCCATAAATTAGTCTCTCTGCGTTTGTGCTAATGCTAATACTAATAATGCTAATGCGAGGATAATAAAATGGCGGCTTCACAAAACTTTTTGGGAGTTTTACGGGGCGTGGTTTGCAATCCGCCCAATCAGACATAGGAACCTTTTTCTCCCACGAAAAAAAAAGTTTCTGATTAACTAATTTTAGTTCCGGCTCTTTTTGTTGTGAACGCGAGATTTCGGAACTGTATCGGAACTAAAGTGGGAAAAGTACTGTGGTGTGAACAAAGAGGTCACATTAATTTAAAAAATCCAACCATACCATCATGCCTCTACATACACCTTTAAAAACAGGTCAAATGAATAACTTTCACCGTAGCTGGATATTTCAGGTCACTTTTATGTTCTGCATAGCACATATATGCAGGTATTTTTGCAATATATTACTTTTTTTGTCAGTCTCCTGAAAATATGAGAAACAAAAACAAAACAAGATGCTTTACACATTTGTATCTGTTCAGCACATACCTGTCTGCGACATCCAACCACATATCTGGGGCCGTTGGTGGCCTTGACAATGACTGGAAATAAACAAAAACAACAAGTTAGCATCACATGCCGGAGTTGATCACAGTTTGACATGTTTCAGTCACAAGTTGTCATTAGAAATGGTTAATAAGTCACTAAACTTCAAGAGGGTAAATCTTAAGCCGGAATCAGCATCATGTATTTGAGACTGATTGATAAAGAAATGATTTGTTATCCTAAAATGAACACTCTAAATCCCCCACTAAATCCTCTAGCCATTAAATGATTCTGCCGCTACTTGTTAACGTGATATTTCATCCAATTAACTTACATTTCTCCTCTGTCAGCTGTTTGAGAACTTCTCCAACAATCTGCAAATAAAAAAAGGGAAAAGATGGGGTTAGCATAGTCTCAATAAAAGTCTGACTCTGATCCCCTCTCTCCTGTTTGTCTATGAAAGTCCCTTCCACTGTCTTCACCCACTGAAACACCATTCTCTCTTCACCAACAGACACAAACACTTTCACAAACATTGTATAAATCGAGATGACTGTATTTCACTTTTTATTACTTCACTGTCATCTAGCATTGTTTTAGTAAATGATGACATACATTATAACCCTGACTTGTTGTTGAGGGAAGCACTGTGTTGCTAACTCCAGGTCTTGGCCTTGTCAAAAACGCTGCATCACTACTGTGATGTTCTCTTTTATTTTGGGAGTCCAGGAATTACATAATAATCTTCCAGTTTTATATCTATACCTGCTTTAACAAATCTAAAGTATGGTTCCTTGCTGGTGAAAATATATTTCCTCAGTCTCACTCTCAAATGTCCTTGGTTGTATCAAATGATAATGCAGTCCTTTGTAAAATGTTGTAATAATACAACTACAATAATAGAAAGTGACTCATTTAGTGGAGATTCAATATATACAAGAATACTTCGATCTACTGTTGCAGCCACTTGTATTATCCAGTGGGAACCTAAACTCTTAAATGTAAACAAGTACAGAACATATTCTTACCTGACCAACACTTTGCAGAGCCTTCAGGTCATTTTCTGATTTCTCATACTGTTTTGTTTGTTCTCTCAGCTGTTCTCTCACTGGAAAACAAACAAGGGGAATAGCCAGAAGTTATTTTCTGCAGTTTTCGTTAACAAAGACGAACATACATCCGATGATGACATTGTTTGTTACAGTTAAGAATGGCAGCTCACTGTCAAACAAACATGCTAACGTTAGCTAGTCAAGTTAGCTTAACGTAAAACTGTTGATAAAGTCGTCAGCTACAATGCGAATTCAATTTGTATCACGGTAGTAGACCGTACACGGACTGATGTTAACTGAACGTTATCAGTTATTAACGTATTTTAATGTTCGGCATAACACTAATGTTACAGTTGTTTGTCTAATACCAATAAGCTAAGTTAGCACAGCTAGCGTCGACTGGTTTAGCGTCACTTCCATTCATTTCTATGAGGGATGCTAATTGCATGACAAAGCAGTAGCTAGCTGGCCAGCTAGCTGATGCTAGCAAGCATCAACCTATACTATTGATTATATATAATCAAAATAAACACCATATTGTTGCCACACTAGAATCAACAACATTAAACAGCCTCTTACATTCTTTTAACCGCCCGTCAATTTCTTTGTGTTCCAGTAATTTTTTTCTGTAGTCTTGCAGCCCTTTCTCCCTGGTGTCCGCCATGATGCCCCACTGAATGCTGGGAAACTGTAGCGTCACAAAAAGTATTTTGCTATTAGCGGCCACCCCCACTTTGCTATGCTGTATTTTTTAAAGTAAGAATTTATTTTTCAACTATTTCTGCTGATGTTAAAATATATTGCACTTTAAAATGACTTTTCCTACCAATTAAGGGGCGTTACATTTCATCTACAATAACAGTAATATCCAGTGCATTTACTCAAGTAGGCCTACTGTTTTTAAGAGACAAACCAAAAAATATCAAAGATTGAAATTGTTTAGGTATAGGCTACTTATACTTTAGTTGAGTATGTCCACATTGTGCTACTTTTACTCCAATACATTTATTTAGTTACTAGCTGATTTGCAGATTTAAAAGTTTAATACAAAATATAAATCTACAAGTGCATTATTATATATTATTGTAGGTTAAGCAACCAATTTGTATATTACGTAGTCAAAATAAACCCCACTTTTAACAAGTGTGATGAACACATTATTGCATCAATAATTCTGATAAAATTAATTTAAAATATGTGGTGCTTAAATTGACCATTCTGCATGACATTTAGTTGTAACTGAATATTGTTACACTGTAGTATTGCTTCATTACATAAGTAAATAATCTGAGTACTTCTTCCACCTTCCCCTTGAAATGTATCCATTGTTGTGTTTTCTTTAACACCTTTTTGTTAATACTCAAATCCCATGCTTGTAAATTGCATCATAAGGATTCACATAAGTCTTCAACTTTGTGTCAGGTGAAGATGGTCAAGTTCCTTAGAAATGTTTCAGTTTTCATCATCGTTGAATATATAGCAAGAAGTGTTGGAGAGAATGAGTGGCTACTAAATAAAAATGTTTTGTGCATAAAGTAAGCTATATATATATATTTAAATACAGTCACATGTTCCTATATATCAGTGAATATGCTTGAAAGTATTTGGTTTGCTGCCATTCAAGTCAGAAAACAAAAAAGAGGTTACCATGGTTCACCTTTACACCTCGAACATCTTTCTCCGCCTCAGTTACAAATATGTGGGTTTCCCTAAAGGCCCCGATACACCGGCCCGAAATCGGCAGTAAATGGGAGCCGGGCCGAACATGAGCGTGAGCACGCCCTATTCGGAGTGGTGTGCGCCGCACCGTTGGGTCTTTTCTGCCGACCTGACGCCTTTTCTTGCCGATTCAACCCGTCGGGAACACCACCGGAAGTCGGACAAAGGGATAACACTGATTGGCTGTTCAGCTAGCGAATCAGTGCATGAGAAGCGTTAACGGAAGTGAGGGAGGTAAACAAATGATTTAATATGGAATGGAAGTCCGTGGATTGGTCAATTTGGACCAATCAGCGGGGGCTTAACGTAACGGCTCTGCGGACGTAACGGCTCCACGGATTGGTCCATTTGGTTCCGGGTAACGCATGACATCATGAGGTACCCGGAAGATTCAATGGACAGTGACGTATCTCCAAAGAGGCGATAATAATGCTAATGCAAGAAAAATAAAATGGCGGCTTCACAAAACTTTTTGGGAGTTTTACGGGGCGTGGTTTGCAATCCGCCCAGCCAATCAGAAATGGGAACCTTTTTCTCCCATGAAAGTACCTACGTTGCTCGGATAGTTTAAAAATCAGCTCCTAAGTTCTAACCCTATCTCCTATTCCTTGACCTCCGAGTGAAACGTCACGGGGTTAAGGGATAGTGGATAGTGGATAGGAGAATTCAAAAGGACTTAGGAGAAGAGACTGCGGTACTTTAGAGAATCCGAATGCACTTTGACTATCCGACGTGTTTATGATGTGCCAGCGGACGTCATAAATGTGCGTTTGCTGCTGTGGGGAAACTATGGAAATTACAGTTTTCTATACAGCGGACTCCAACATGGATCTTTACTAAGAACGAGGGACTAACTGTAAACTCATCTAGAGANTACCCGGAAGAATCAATGGACAGTGACGTATCTCCAACGAGGCGTTTTGGGGAGGTATTTTCTGTGTTAGAGTTCTACTCGCTACAGGGTGTACTTTGAGGGTTTTGACTCTGCAGACCGTTTACATGCATAAAAACCTTCATAACATCCCACGCTTTTTGAGAAAAATATGCAACTGCGTGTGTTAATAATTGCACGTTTTCACTGCTCATATGCGGGTTCGGGTCGGGTTGCGGATCTTGTGCCGACGGGTCGGGTTGCGGAACTAATTGGCAATATGTGCGGGTAGCGGGGCGGGTTCGGTATTGCACGTCACGGGTGCGGGTCTTGAAAATCAGACCCGTGCAGGACTCTGCCCTGGGTATGAGTTCTGATATTTTTTGATGTGAGGTATTTTTCAGTTATATTTGTTTGTACTACTGCTTCCTTTTTTCGAAAAACATTTCGTATGTATCTTATTATGAGAATATTCATAAAACTTTGAATTCTGTCTTTTGCAAAAACGTATGCATTCCGGACAAACTCAACCTTCAGTGTAATCTTATTATCTTATGGAAATGTGATATTTAATTTTAATTGGAGTGTGTGGGATCCTCTTCTAATGAGCACCTGTTCATTTAAAGGAAAAGCTGATGGCAACCTGATGAAGCAACAAGCAAAAATACTCTTTCTAGTCTTTAATGTAATATATTATGTTAAGAAAGTGATATCCTTGGAGCTTTGATTCATCTGTAAGATTTCATTTAAAAGCCTTTGCAATATAACGCAGTAGGTTGCCCTTATTCACAAAGAGTAGAAATTAAGTGTCAAATAAAAAACTGAGACTAAATAACGCTTTTCACTACACTATAAATACATTATTGGAAAGCAAGTGTTATAGGGTAAATATATTTTCAATAACACATCATAAGTGCCCTTGCCTTCAAGTTTGATGAAGTCAAAGCACAGAAATGTAGGACATAGAACTTAACCATTTGAAAAGCTGAGTTATCAAACTGGCTGTGCTTCGGCTCCTCCCCAATCTTTTGAAGTGTCCAAATTATGATGGAGGAAAAGATCCCTCCCAGGCCCGGTCTGATAAAGACAGATTGAAACCTTATCGATTTTGAAAGCGAATAAAAAATATCCAGAGCAGAGAAAACTCAGAGGGAATGCTGAGCACAGTGGTTGAGACTCTGGATTGCTTCCTACTCTTCTCACAGCATCCCTCTGTGCCCCGGGCCTCCCATCGTCTCGCACTGTGGTGCTGGCAGTGAGCGCGACAGCTGGTCTCCATGCTTTGCCTCCAATCTCTGTCTCAGAACACCCAGCGACTTCGTTCTATCATCGAGTCCCGTGAGCCGATCCAGGCTTTCATTTCCTGACGGCTGACATCTGATGTTCCTCTACAGATGCTGGTTTAAATCATTCATACAGATCTTTCTTGTTTCAATTTGGGGATCGCTGCCGCGCTACTACAGTGATGCTGTTGCTGCGATTGATTATTGCAATGCAAGAACCGTTGTCCCTGTATACCCTTGTTGTCTCCATGGAAAGTCAAGCAGCAGCAGCAGCAGCATAATCTCAAAGACTTAGTAACCCTGCTTGAAACTGCAGAATATGATATACCATTGGTATGTTTTCGTACACATCACTGCACAATGTATAACCAACTTAAATGGCCTTCTTTAAATGTACAGAAAGAAGACACACACATTGGCTTCAGCTGATATTTAAATGCATTTATCTTAACTATCCCCCTTATTTAAAGCAGTATTTTGTACGCTACTCGCCAAATCATCAAGTTAGACATTCTGTTCTGATGTATTTCTCTGTCCCCTCTGCAAAAAAATAGATTTGCAGAAGAGCGTTCATTTTCAAAGCCCCAACAGACTTGAATACTTTACCTGCTGCTATTAGATCTCTTGCATCATTGGGTATGTTTAAACATGCATTATCATCTCACTTTCAACTGGCCTGCACTTGTTATTAATGAAACTGATATTGATGAAACTGAGTTGCTCGACTGTCTCAAATTGTAATGATTGTATGCATTGCTTGAATTTCACTTAACAGACTGTATGTGGTTTGTCTTGTGTGTCATGTTTTACATTTTGTCTTTTTGTTTTCGTATGTCTGTAAGTTCTTGCTATTGTCGGGAGTCGGGACCCCCTTGAACACGAGATGGTGCATCTCAAGGGGTTTATCCCAATGAATAACATTTTCTATATACGTATATTTGTAGTGAAGGAAACTTGCAGGATTTTATTTTTCACTCTGGTATTCGTCCTTGGGCGTTTGTCAGTTTGTTACTGACGTTTATACAGCTGTATCTCCACTGTTGAACCAGCCGAACAGTAAGAGGAGACAATCTGCATTGGTGTGCACCTGTGTGTGTATTAATGTTTACCGTGTACCGTCACAGATGCCTGCATCAGCCCTGACTTCCTCCAAATCATGTAAATACATATTCCACCAGAGAGAATAATCCTTCCAATTTAGAGAACCGTGCCACTGCAGTGACCTCACCTGTACTGTTAAGTTGCATAGGGATTCCCCGGATACAAGCCAGTGTTTTTATAAACTTAACAGTCATTACTTAAAGCTTGTGGTGTTCAAAGCCCACGTGAAACTGAACAGGGACAACATCACTTGACTTCATCTTTCTTCTTGCGTTTTTACAAGACAATGAATGGCTCCCAGACCGCACAGATAAATGAAACAACACATCTTCTGGGAGCAATTTGAGTTTTAACACTTATGGTGAGTATTTCACTTACTGTATTGAATTTTAAACATATCCATTAGTTGGTCTAAAACTCTTGTTTGAATCAGCTTTCCATCGTGACAGATACATCATTCTCGTGGGAAGAACTGAGAAGTTTTTTCCGCTTTGCTTTGTGTGAGTTTGAGGATTGGATCTTACCTAGTTCATTAGTCAGACAGTTGGGGTATTTTCGGAGTGGGCCTGCTTCCATCAGCTGTAATGCAGATATGACATAGCGCTCATAAGCCTGATGAAGCCTTGGCTCATAGCAGTAGGTTGAGAGGCTCAGGGAGATTGCCTACTGCAGAGCCACGGGGCTTTGGTAGTTTCCACTTGATTAAGCCCGACTCAATGCACTCT